AGACCACCTCTCTAAATCAAAAGGAGACTGCGACTAAAATTTAGGTCACTTTATTTTAGTTTTCACATTTTGGCCACACAACGATATTCAGGCTAATGGCCTATCCCTAAATCCTGTATTTATCACCTACATCAGTGGTTCCCAAACTTTTCCTAGTCGCGGCGCCCTTTTTCAATTAACATTTTTCCATGGCGCCCTACCCTAAGTATGACTATTCGTAAGTAAGAGATACAAATAAATAAAACTCGTGTATCTTCATTATTTTTTGTACTCTATTGACATTTAATTAATAGTTAATAATTAATGTGATGGATGAGCCTGCAAATCACTGCACATTTTCTCAAATTGAAACTTACAATATTTCGCGGCGCTCCTGTAAAGAGGTTGCAGCTCCCCGGGGCGCCGTGGCGCACAGTTTGGGAATCACTGGTCTACATCTAAGCTCTGATAAAGTATAAGGTGATTTGGTTAGTGCAAGCTACATGTCAACCTCAAAGCATGTGAGTGTATCTGTATGTGTTTATCTGCCTTCATGTGTTCATATATCTACGAACAGAGCAATAACGTCTTTTCTCGGCCATCAATGTTTGATGGCTACCAACACACTCTTTTACATATATATATATATGCATATATATACAGCACGGGGTGGTGGTGGTCATCATACCTTGATGGCCGACTACAGATGTTACCTTCCAGTTCCAATTACTTTGAGCAATCACGGCTGGTTTCGTACATATACGAACACCTGAAGGTGCATAGGCACACAGACACTCACATGCTTCGAGTTTGACATTAAACTTGAACTAACCAAATCAATGTATACCCCATCACAGCTTATATATAAACTATATATACATCATTTAGGGAGAAAGCAAGTGAATTTAAAATCCGAGTTTATTTCTCGTTGCCCCTATATAACCTTCAAGAAATTTTTTGTCTGGATCAGATTTGCTTTGCTATATAGAAATTCGCTTTAAACATTTTTGTATGGCACTTATTTCTTTGTCTGATCACAAATTTAAAAAAACTCAGAGCTTTGTCTTTATTTTCCAGATTTCTGTGTTGAATTCGAAATGGTACGTAAACTTGGAATTGGGACCATTTAACCACATTTATTCAAACGCTTAGTTCAAATGTAACATTCATATTTGACTCTCATAATGGTGACTAATTTCCTTCTCAGTATCTTCAAGTGGTGTTCTGCGAAGGAGCCCTGCCTCAAGCTGTACTCTTCCGTTACGCCGTGCTCTTGATCCGGTACCCTATTCACCGACACGTAGCTCCTCTGGAAATCTGGCCGTGCGCCCATTTTCGCTTGACTCAAATGCCCTAAATCATTTGTCTTCTACCCTTCTTCTACTTCTGCCATCTGAAGGCCCTTCATCCAGACTTCCTAGCGAGAGCGAATTCGAACCTGTTCATAGTCCAGCGACTCCAGCCAGCTGCACCACATCCGAATACTGTCAGGAAAAAGTCTCAGGAGAAACTTCAATACGCAAACATCCTAGAAGAAAAGTGGCAACGCCTGCAGACAGCGCTGCAAGCACAAGCATCGGTTACAGTGGCAGCAGCAATTGCAGTACTGGGCCGATAGACCATATCGGTTCATCCAACGACTTACTCGGCCAAACCATTTGTCAAGCGAGCGCTGAACATTTTGAAAAACTGTCCCATCGGGGCTCCGATGGCGTGCTAGCAACAGACAGTTTGCCACCGCCGGCTGCCTTGCAGCGTGAGCTCGAAATTAGTCTGACCATACCGGATAGTTTAAACTTGGCCATTAAACAGCAAGATACAGTGAGTGCTCTGATACTATTCTTGTATAATTGCTCTATTTTTATTGTCGCATTTCATGACCTTTTTTATTCATGTTGCAATATAATTGCCTTTGAAATGAAGCACTCTGATTTAAGCATATCTCCGAATCGCACTCATTGTAGTAAGAATATATTTTACTTATTCCCCTGCTATATTTTAGTTCCTAAAAGAAGCAAATAAAGAGGCTTTACTTTAATAAAAGTTTCATGCATTTAATTAATCAATAGTTTATATCAATGATTCCCAAACTGTGTGCCGCGGCGCCTCGGGGATCCGCGTCTTCTCGATCGCGCCATATGATCGCACTAGACACGTCAAGGTGCATAGAAACTTCGCGACAGATTTGGAATGTTCTGGAGGATCTTGTGGAAAGTATATAAGCAAGTGTTGCCGGCTCGATTCAGTCAGTCGACTTATAATTTGAGCCTAGTGAAGTTAAACTCAGCGCTTCGTATATAAATAAATAGTGACATAAATTAGTAAATGAGTTCATATTGTAATTTAGTTAATGTTATATTACTTCTTGTTTGTTGTCTTTGATAAATAATTTTGTGGTATTTGGCTCATGTATCTTTGTTAATGGACCGATTTTTGAACAGTTATAAACGTATTAGTGCAGATAAAGAAAGTATGCCTTTAACCACTGGCACTAATTTGAAGAAACGAAAATATAGTAAACATGATGACAGTTACACAATGTGTATGAAAGTTTTTTTTACAGAGTGTATGCTTCCAAGTAAATTTAAGCGCAATTTAGAAGCTAATTACAACAGCATGGTTTGGAAACCTCGTGACTTTCTAACCAGGAAGTTAAATAAACTGAAACAAAAAAAAATACATTTCGTAAAATTGCATCAATATCAAACAACGCTTTGCTAGCATCTTATAAGGTGGCTAACGGAATCGCGAAATGTAAGAAGCCTCATACCATCGCATG